CAGTTGTCTCAGGTGTGCTGGAGTCTGGGACAGTCAGAGAGAGACAGTGTGTGTGTCAGCGTGTGTCAGCGTGTGTCAGCGTGTGTCAGCGTGTGTCAGCGTGTGTCAGCGTGTGTCAGCGTGTGACTGTGTGTGTCAGTGTGTGTGTCAGTGTGTGACTGTTGTCTCAGGTGTGCTGGAGTCTGGGACAGTCAGTGTGTGACTGTGTGTGTCAGTGTGTGACTGTGTGTGTCAGTGTGTGACCGTTGTCTCAGGTGTGCTGGACTCTGGGACAGTCAGTGTGTGTCAGTGTGTGTCAGTGTGTGTCAGTGTGTGACTGTATGTGTCAGTGTGTGACTGTTGTCTCAGTTACTGCTGCAAGAGCAGACTGGGAGTCGGCGAGAGAGAGACCCCACACACCAGTGTGTTAGAAACAGCTCGCCCACACTGCCTGTCCCAGAGCATCACTGAGCCAACAGCTGGAGCCCTGGGGCAGCGAGCAGAATATTCACTGAACGGACTCCTGCTTGCCCTTCCTCTCTGAGCACTGGTGCACCCTCCTCCTCCTCTCCCCCAGGGTGTGTTAATTACAGCCTGCTCAGCGCTGCAACCCGATCCAGGAATTGTGCTGTTTCCAGCACGCTGTGGGCCCTAGGGTGGAGTGGAGTCAGCTCGATTGTTGTGGCCTCTGCCTCTCTGCTCCAGGGTCCCGGGTTCGTGTTTTGCCTGGGGGGGGACTGTCTGGGTGGAGTTTGCATGTTCTCCCAGGGAGGGGCGGGAGTGTAGCCGGTCCTGGCTGGGTGAGGGCAGGGATCTGGACAGCTCCAGCCTGGGGCAGCAGGAGTTTCCTCCCCCTCCTCCCCCGCCTCTCTCGATGGGAGTTTCCCAAACCCAGGCTTTCCCCGGAGATCCGCAGGCACGGGCCCGTCCCGGCACGGCGCCCCACCCAGCCGGGGAGCGCACGGGACTTCGGGATCAGCCTGAGGGGACCGGAGACAGAGCCGCCCAAACCTGTTCCTCCAGCCCGTTCCGGCCCGGCGGCGGGCGCGAGGGTCTGACCCCAGGGTCTCCTGCTCCGGCTGTCCCGCCACGAGGCTGTGCTGCCTGGGAGCCGCGTGGGGAGGGGCTCCCCTCAGCGCAGTACAGTGAGATCGGGGTAAAAATACAGTACAGCGCAGTGAGATCAGGGTAAAAGCACAGTACAGCGCAGTAGAGCCCAGTGAGATCAGGGTAAAAGCACAGTACAGCGCAGTAGAGCCCAGTGAGATCAGGGTAAAAACACAGTACAGCGCAGCAGAGCCCAGTGAGATCAGGGTAAAAGCACAGTACAGCGCAGTAGAGCCCAGTGAGATCAGGGTAAAAGCACAGTACAGCGCAGTAGA